AGCCTCCCACCGCTTACGTACCAGGATTAAATAATTGTAGCCGACTCAAAGGCTAAGGCGGAAGTGCTTGCCAAGATCTTGTTTAATACAGTATGTTCTATATGCCGACGAAAACATGGAACAAAGCAATTTTGGAACTTTAGTTTTCATTTATTAATTTTATTCATGTTTGTATTTATTTTTGTATGGGTTAAATGGGGGAATAGCTCAAGCTTAACTTCGCCCAAATAAAGGACGTTTACTTAATCATTACTATTATCAGTTCCTAAAAACTCAAAAACCTCACCGAATTTTCTGCAGACTTTGTATATATATATATATATATATATATATATATATATTTGTAACTTGAAACGTGATCGTTGTCGTCTAGACCAGCTAAAATCAACTTGGTAAAACAGATGAAAACAAGGGTAATCAGCATCTCAAATAATACTTTCCACACTTCAAATTTTACGTAAACTATCAAAACTGTTCATTAACAATGGTTATCCGAAGTGTCTGATTAACAAGATCTTATTCAGCTCACCTCCCAGTATTTTACCTCTAATGATACAAGTAATAGTCTCACAACCCCTATTAACGGAACTGATAGAATTCCCAACAACAACACCAATTCAAACAGTACAACCACCATCCCAAATTCCAGATCTGGCTTTGCTGCCCTACCCTATATCAAGGGACTGACCCCTAAGCTGGTCAGATTATGCAGTCCGTTGAACTGTCGAATTGCTTGCAAATCCGTCCTCACTATAAACTGCGTTTTTTCAAAAATGAAAGACAGGGTCCCGCTGCTTGGCTTAACCAACACAGTCTACTCTATCAATTGCAACAATTGCAACCAAATATACATAGGTCAGACCTCCAGATCTCTTAACGGAAGGATTGCATCACACAAACGTTATTCTAGGCTTCATCATGAAAGATGTGCTCTAGCATCTCATGTCAACACAACAGGGCACTCTATGAACTACACAAGTATCAAAGTTCTCGATAAAGAAAAACACCTATCCAAACGTTTATTCCTGGAAATGTCCCACATTTTCATGAATGACAACTGTATCAATAAGAAGACAGATGTTAAGCAACTGAGTGTCATTTACTCATATTTGCTAAACTGCGAAAAATTGGAGCACTTACACATCTCCCCAAATTTTGACTCTTCACAACCATAAATGGATTCTGTTTCTTGGTCTATTCCACCAATAAACTGCATTCCATTCAAATTTTAATAACTTTTTCCTCATAATTAAATAATAACTGTTAATTTAATTGCCCATTAATAAAATATAGTCAATTCAACTGCCTCTGGTCGGCTTGACAATTTCTTACCTAACACATTTTGGAAATCACATCATCTGAAGTGATTTGGCAACGTAGCACACGCCCACAAAAGAATTCGTTCCATCACTCTACACAGACACTGATAACCTTCGGCCATCTGTCAAAAGATTAATCTTACTCATTATTCCATGCCCACCATTTTGTGCAATAATCAAGTGTCTTCACGATGTAATGCTTTCATGTTCTAAAAATATCTAATCTGTTTTTAACTTGTTCTTGTCATACAGTTGTGTGTATTTTATATAATTTTGACCATTGTACCATTTATCCAGCTTTCACCATGTTACTGGGTGTTTCCCTCATCCTGAACGTAAACAACAATTAGCAACATCCTCACATACTACTGTAAGTAAAGTTAATTTAAATTCATTTTACACTATTGTTGCTACTGTTATCAATGTAATTGCAGCTCCTGATGATGATGGCAAAGTCTCTTGAAAGCTAGAGAGAATAAAAAAGTATAAGGAGTCCTCCTTGCTTAAATTTTTGTCGAAGTACCCAACAAAAGGCGGAAGCTTTAATTTTTCACCTATATATACGTATATATACTTACGTTTGAACATCGCGCCTACTTTATTTACTCCAAATCTAATTTAGGCTCTGTGCTACGGCAACATTGTAAACCCCCATTGAGTTGTTGACGTTTAAGTTAACACAGCATGAATGTCACTTTTCCTTAAATGCTCTTTGATTTTTGAGTTCTGAGACGAAATGCCAATTATGTTTTGTGCTTATGACGTATGGCGTTTGATTTTGTGGAATTTGATAAATAAATTCGTTCGCTCTCTAGTGTTGACAAAGGATCCATGTCTCCACTAAGACCATAGTGAGAGTTGAAATGAGAAGAGAGCTTTGAAACTAAATGTTTGATATCACAAAACAGTAGTCGAATATGTCGCTAAAACCCCCATGTCTATTCAACGATGTTTCGAGACTGTCGGATCTACGATGAGCCGGTATGGTCGCAACGACTCATTTTTAACACAAGATAACTTTAACGGCCATTTCGGTGTTGCATGCATCGTAAATTCATCGATCCGTAAAACAGCTGCTGAAAACTGCTCGGCAGTTAAACGTAAGTGGGTTTTTCCAACAGCTTCGCTAAACGCGGATGTGTGTGTGTGTCCATGAGTTCAGCTCTTTTTATCTTGTAGTGCAGGAGAACTTGGACTTATATATGAATATGAGAAGGTGAGATTTGAGTACTCAGGGCAGCTAGCCTTTTACGATTATAGGAAGGTAATTATTGTAGTAACCATGAAACATATGCATGTAGTCTAAGGGAACTACTGTAGCCACATATACAATTACTTCTATACAGCGCTTTTCATAAGTTCTCCGCATCTTATTTTTGGAACTAATTGAGTTAGAAAGCTGAAATTCAGGGTCATGAACTTTCAAAATGGCGGTTTGGGGTCGTATGGTACCTAATTTTGAAGCTCCATACAAGTAGTTCAAAATCAGGATATAAAACCAGTACCTTTCAAAACGGCGGACTAGCAGGCTATCAACGTTAAGCGTTTTTGTAGACTGAATGGTTTAAAACTCGATAATAATCATCAAAAAGTATGGTATATTAATCTCATTCTGTCGGAAGGACTTGAACCACTATGTAATAAATTATAGAACGTACCATTTTATCAATCTTTGACAGACCACCTACTTGGAGTTATGCTATTGCTGATGTGACATTCCCAAAATTGTGATACGGGAAGCAGACACGAACTTGCACATTTTGAATGAAATACAAATCGTATATATTCAATTTTTGGTTTCTGAGGTTCCAAGCAAATTCCATGTATAACGTCCTAAAACTCTAACCATGTTTGAGAAATATCAAATTTTGTGTGAAAGATTACGAATGCAGGTCCATAAAAGCCTAATTAACCTTTCGTATATTGTTGTCTTTATCAGACGATTTGTAACTGCTTCATCATAGAAGGGATCTGCTTCAGTAGACTTTATTCAATCTTTTGATAAATAATATTACAGGATGGTCAAAAAAATCGGACGAAAATTAAATTGTCGTCCAGAATAGGAGTCTTGCACCACACTCGTAATGCGCGACTTTATATCGTTGTCCGAAACAAAAGGAAGATTCAAGGGAAAGGAGCAACAATCTTTAGGCTTTTCGTTATATACCAAATTTAATCAAATTGGGTACGTAAAAATTCACTTCATTCAAATCGTATTGTTTGTTTAGCGCAAAGGCCCAAGAGAGGCCGAGGCTAAGAGCTAATCATGCTTCGTATAGTGGCTTGGCCTCAAGAGCAGACATATCTATGTAAAAAATGGTTTGCTCATTTCTGTTCTATATAATTTAGTATTTAATTACTCCTCGCACGGGTCGGAAAAACGTTGTCGACTATGACCAACTTTTTGGTGCCGTAAGAGCTGATCAGCATTTGACAACCTCGTATCACATCACTGTATTTGAAAAGAACTTGGCAGAGTGAGAAAAGCCGGCATCTGGTACTTCACAATCTGGTGGAATCGAATCAAATTTTGATATAACGAACCCTATGGACACAATTTTGAGACACTTGTTTACTATATACTATATACCAAACCTCAATTTGGCCTTACGGTCTCTGTGGATGATATGATGAAGTCGGCCTTATTCTTTGAGTTTCTTCAGCAGGATAACAGAATGTACTCTGAGGAGTACTATGTTTTGCCCGCCTACATACTTCGAAAGCCACAAAAAGGAAAGTTTAAAGCTTTTGTACGTTATGCAGACCCACCGTATTCTCCAAGTCTAGCGCTTTTCGGTTTTCACCTAAGCCGAATGAGGCTTTTTGAAATCGCCTTCCTGAGTTCTACACAATCGACAATACCATTGTCATTTTGTCCAAACGTTGAGATTATAGACCTATATAGCCTAAAAATAAGCCGTAATAAATTTGTGTCGCAAAAAGTCTGGTTTACAAGATAAGTTTTATAAAGATGTTGTTTCTCATTGACATCTGAAATATATTGTTGTATCATAAGCTACTTAATCCAAAACAAAGACAGTTGGGTATATTATTGTTCGAGACCGTCCCCGCAGACGCCACTGGAATTCATAATTATCTTGTAATTAGTGCTTATTGCGATGAACACCACTGTCAAAATTCAACAAAATGGGCACAAAGATGTTAATAAAAGAAAACAAATTTTTATGAAACTTTGACACCCTATATCTTGGAAACCAGACTTTTTAGGCCACATGTTTATATGATCTGTTCTATTTAAATTAAATTTTGTCCAGGAATGCATCCTTGTAATTACGGCCTATCATCAAGTAACACCCTTTATTATTGACAATAAATGTTTTCGAGTTTGGCTATGTTAACTCTCCACTTCGAAATTCAGTAAACTTCTCCTACAAACCAATAGAACAATGAAGAAATTGTAACACTTCCCCCACATAAAGTGCTTGCACGAGTAGCGCAAGATCTGTGGAAAGTAGTGGTGCTTACAACGCATTTTATAGGTGCTCAGTCTGCACTGTGGAATTCCGGATGACATTCCACACGTTTTTTGGATGCGAGAGGTGTAATACAGAACGCAACGTGCCTGAACCGGCTGGAGGCCAATGTACGCCCGGACAGTATCGTCCAGCTGACGCTCTCCTCCCAAACAAAGTGGAATGCCGTGGATACTTTTGTTCGCACCGTCCTCGACAGCAAAAAAGCAGCAAGACATCGCAGAGAGCCTGAACTCCTAATTCCCATGTACATGGGGGAAAAGACATGTAGGGCCAGAAGACCGAAGAATGGACTGAACAAAGAAGAAAATACAGCCCCCAACTTGAAGACAGTTCCACCAAGATAGTTCCGGGAAAGGGGCCTGGGGGCGGTCGCTGAAAAAAGAAAAAAAGAAAACGTGCTCAGACGCAACTGCAATTTCTCTTCAACTTGGATGTAATGAGTCTCCGTCACAGCGTTACTAACAACAATTACAAAGTTGTAGGCTCGAAGCTAAATTAACTGTCCTATTCCGAAATGTATACGTTGGGATCTATTTAACGAAGCGGTAATACTGTGGACTAAAAAACAAGCGTTTCAATTGAACGAGGATTTTCCACGAAGCGCTATTTAGTGTTTAAGCTGCCGTGTCCTTTAACGCTTTGGGATTTTAGTTACTTCAAGTTGCAGGCTACCGAACCTCCGATTACAGAATATCATCGCAGTGCAATTTTAGTTTTATCTTTCTGTTAAAAAATATTCAAGAATGAAAATTAATATTGCTAATTTTTCTTCTGTTGTAGGCCATACTCTCCATACATCATCCTACTTTTGGATATTCGATATAATGGTAGGACTTCAGACTTTATCTGCTTAAAATCAGGATTTGAAAAAGTGCGACTGGTAAACTCTTTAGATATCGTTTATTATCAGACTGCAGACATTAGACGTTACCTGGATGCAAATTAAAGTTTAGTCGTTTATTTTAACAGCTTGTAGAACTCGTCAAAAGAAGTTGATATACCAAAAATCATCTGCATAAAACTTGCGCAATAATCGAGTTATGAGGTTAAACCCTTTTACAAAAACTGTTCAAAATTGTCCCGATTTGTTCGATTAGCGCAAAATCTTGCTTGGCGAATCCATGACTCTTTACAAACTCAAACTGAAATCTTCGTGTCCACGAATTAAATCATAAGCATTTTCAGTGCGCTGAGAAGTTCTTCCAGAGTAGTTACTGCTCCATCCTGATTCAAATAGCCTCACAGAAAAAAATCCCAAGGCGTTCAATCCAGGGAGCGAGCAGGCCAAGAAATGGGTCCATTACGCTTTACCCATCAATTTGGAAACTCATAATTTAGATGTTCGTGATCTTCCTGTCTAAAATGTGGTGAAACCCCATGATGCAGGAACCACATATGATGTCTCACATTCAAAGGAATATTTTCTAATAATTGTCTTAGATTGTGTTGAAGAAAATCCAAATATATTTCCAATAAGCATGCCATTTAATGAAAATCTATGTTGAAAATGAGTTCTTATTACAGCATGCGGATTTTTTACTGCCCAAACATGATTGTAGTGGAAATTATGCACTCCATTTCGTGTGGCCTCGTCTGTACACAGAATTAATTTCGTAAAATCTTCATTTCTACCGAACTGTCCTAAAAGCCACTGGCAAAATGCAACTCATCCAGGATGATCTTCAGGTTGTAACGCTTGTACTCGTTATTAATCACAAGGATGATACTGTACTTATCGTATTGTCTTCCACACTTTACTATGAGAAACTTCACCTTGAGCTGTTATGGCTCTAGTACTCAATGCTGGGTCGTCTCCGACCATTTCTAATATGTCTTTCTCAATTTGTGACATTTCAGATTGAACAGGTCTTCCAGCGTGACCTCCTAGCTGTTCTTTCAAATATCTTGTGCCACAGAGTTTAATAACTAGATTTGCAGACATCTGTGCAGCCGGATGGTTTCTTAAAGGAAACCTTTCCGCATACAACCTGCATGCTGCAGCTGCATTTTGTTGGCACTCTGCGTACGGTGGTATATGTCCACTAGTTCATTGTTTTCGTAAGCATGAGCAATTCTTTCGCACACATCAATCAGACAAATTAAAGTGTGCACTATTAAAAGACTGATACAACTGATCGAACCAAAGACTCGTACTGAAGACCATACAATAACACAGAAGCTTGACAAATTTAGATAAACGGTAAGAGTAGTAAACAAAAAACGCTAAGATTTTACACGGCAGTGGTCGGGAATATCAAAAAATCTGTTTAATAACATCCTTATTTTTTAACGTTTCCAATCATTTACTATAGTCAAAATCTCCAAGGATGACTATTACGTCATAACATAAATTGTACTGAAGTAATCAATGGACGTACGTCGATGATAAAATCACGATGTCAGGAACATAGTGACAAAAAAATTATATCATGATTTTGCGAAGTTAGGTTATTTCATTTTTAGTTTATTTTATGGTTTTGAGTGATACCTTAATAATAATTTTAGTGGGGAGTTTTTGTTTTGAAAAAAACAGTTATCAGTAGAATACCTTAAGACAGCAACACCAAAGACCAAAGTATTATTCGAACAACCTAACCTGCTTTAACATAACCTAATTATTCATCTTTCAAATGTGACCGATCATAAAACATGAAAACATCGTCTATCTTTGTCGGATACATGCAAATTAGCAATACAGTTTTTTTAAACATTAAAATTCTGTTTGTCTTTGTCTAACATATCTGAAACTTCACTAAAAATGTTCACAAATCGCTGTCGTTTGTCTTTACTACAGACTAAAATGATGACGTAATCGTTATCTTTCGACTATATTTATTTTACAATGCAACTTTTATATAGGTGATTTTTTGTATACTCCCCATCTGTACTGAAGTATTCCTTGACGCGCGTACAATCACTTGAACGGGACGAAGTTGCATACTGGATACAACAACGGAACAAGCATTTGCCACGGCCCCGCTCAGAAGAGTGAAAAACGCCATCTAGTAGACCGCTTTTACTATATCACCAGAATCGTCAACCCAGCGGTCACAGTGGTCAGTGGGGGTTAGATATACTATAACGGACGATGATACTGAGAAAAGTGAAAAAAATTATTTTACCAGAACTAAAATTAAGCCAATACGATCTTGTATAAGTTGGAATCATACAACTAAATTGCTTAAGCCTGGAAAATATTTTCTAATAACTATCTCGCGTCGACTGCTTTAATCGACTTTCTTGGGAAGAAAATTTCCCAAGTTAAACAGGGCGAGAGCTGGGTAGTGCGGCATGACCGTTGTATTTCGGTTTCGCGGTAACGGGAGTTAGCAAATTTTTGTAAACTTTCTCATCATGTAAATTAGATTATGCAACCCCTGTATGTCCTCATATAGTACTCAGTTTTTGGTACCGAACGCAGGTTTCGACCACTACTTCAAAGAACTAAAGTGTTAAGAGTGCAGAGAGTTCCAATACAGCCCATTACTTACTCCCTTTTTCAAATCATACACAAATTCGATAGAACGCTGGCAAAATAAATAACTGCTTAGATATGTTTCAGTAAATCGATACTAAGGCCCGTATCGTCAGTCGTCCCTACAATTGTAGGGCGCGCTTATGGCCTCCTTGATTGTCATAGTTTTCTGCTTCTCCGTGTCAGAACTCTATTTTGAGGTTATGTCACAAACATCTATTTGTATCAAATTGTGCTTGCTTTTGAGTTATATCATGTTTTATCAGCCTGAAATTTCCTACAATTTAAAAAGAAAACATATCTTGACAATAGGAGAGCGCTGACGCTGACACGGGACAAGTGTAATCTAGAAATTTTTGAAGGCGAGAAAAGAGTATGACAATCAAGGAGGCCATAAACCCTTCCTACAATTGTAGGGACGACTGACGATATGGGCCTAAGGCTCTCCTTCAAAAATTTCTAGATTACACTTGTCCCGTGTCAGCGTCAGCGCTCTCCTATTGTGAAGATATGTTTTCTTTTTAAATTGTAGGTAATTTCAGGCTGATAAAACATGATATAACTCAAAAGCAAGCACAATCTGATGCAAATAGATGTTTGTGACATAACCTCAAAATAGAGTTCTGACACGGAGAAGCAGAAAACTATGACAATCAAGGAGGCCATAAAGGCGCCCTATAATTGTAGGGACGACTGACGATACGGGCCTAAAAGAATCGAAAGTGATTTTCATAAAATTCAAACGACAACTAAAAAATCTGAGTCGGAGCGAAAGCATACAATTAGTAATATAAGGTCATCATATAGAAATGCGATTTCAAAAACTTCTAAATAAAACATATCATAAAACGTTATGTATGACGTTAAACATGAAGAGCAAGGTATCAGTCAATATCATTAAAGTCAAAACAAAATTAATTGAAAAACCACCTGGTTTTCATGGATAAAATGAGGAGGACTTATACTTTAGAACAAAGAAATTATCACATTTAGAAGGCGGTAGCTGCTCTCGCATCTATATAGTAAGATAAATATCGTAATTTTGTGATCATAGACCCAACCTCTATTCTAAAAATTTCTCCAAAATTATTGTCAAATAACAAAATGTTCGTTATTTACTGGTCCATATTAAAATAAATTCCGAGCAACAATATGAATTTCAAGAGCAACAGTAATTTCATTATTAGGATACCAATAAATTGTTCTCTGCAAACAATAAACTGCAAATATCTTGATAGTACAGACCAAACAACATATTGATTTGCCTGAAGCATTGATAACATATGAAAACAGTATTAATAAAATTCCATTCAATATATTTTTTTTAAACTGTCATGGAAAAGTTATCCGTTTTTCGAATGACACCGCTGTGGTTACACTTTGCATGCATTAACTTGTATTGAACCAAATATTCAATGTACAATATGTACTGCGTGCGTTACCTCCAACCTTCCGGTGAAACGGATTAGTTCTCCGTATATGGTATATGTAGGAAGTTAAGAGGAGTCTACTGATGCAGAATACGTGAAAGTAGAAAAACCGTAGCATAGCTGGTATAAATATTAAAATTAGAAGAATAACGGTGTAAAGTTGATTGGGAGAGGCAACATTGATGCCGGTTATGATCAACAAGATCGCTGGTAGAAATGCAAGGAAATTGGTACCAAGTACAGGGTAGCCGATATGTAACTGACTGATTTGTATCTTGAATATTTGTTAAATGAAATAAAATACGTCCATTTTTTTTATCTTAATCTCTTATTGAAGCTTGGAAATTATGTATGAAAAGTAATCACGCAAATGTCCGCCTCTAGAAGCAGTGCAAACCTGAGCCCTCTTGATAACATTTTCGATCACTTTTTGGTAGGTTTCGGGAGAAATATTTTCAATCGCTTCC